CAAACAGGAAAATTTACAAGGAAAAACTATTGTGCTCACAAATGGGTCTTCACAGAATTAGATACAGGAAGCATGAATGGGAATTCAAGTACATACATTTGTAGCGAATAATTTCAACTTTTAAACAAAAACATGAACTGAAAATGGACTAAACTCTGTTCGCCAAAAAGAAATGTTCCAAACTTCAAAAAGTAAAAAATTTTCCAAACTTTAAAAAGTAAAAAATTCTCCAAACCTTAAAAAGTAAAAAATTTTCCAAACCTTAAAAAGTAAAAAATTTTCCAAACTTTAAAAAATAAAAAATTTTTCCAAACTTTAAAAAATAAAATTTTTTTCCAAACTTTAAAAAATAAAATTTTTTTCCAAACTTTAAAAAATAAAAATTTCTCCGAACTTTAAAAAATAAAAATTTCTCCGAACTTTAAAAAATACAAATTTCTCCAAACTTTAAAAAAAAAAAAATTCCAAAAAACTGTACTCGTAACTAGATTTGAAAAGATTCATTTGGCTGAACTAGTTTCAAACCACATTTTTCACCTTATTCAATTAGCAGAAGATCCCCTAAAATTAAATCATGTTTGAACAATAACAGAAAAAACTAAGCAACGAAAATCGTTTGCTAAACGTAGCATTTGAGACGGAGGCCAGATTAAAAGAACTTTTTCGTACTTAAGAAAACGGGGTGTAATTAATGTTGATTAAGATAATTAACTTTTCAATGTCAACTTCCGAACGTTATAATTAGTCTACAAGATATGCAATTATTTAAGCTAATTGCAGATGTTCGAAATGCATATCGTCAGTTGATTAAGAAGACGCCAAATACTTAATTGCAGACGTCGCTGTGGCTTGCTTTTTCTAAACATTTTTTGTAAACACTTTTTTCTCAAGGAAGAGTATATTACAACTAATCTTTTTTCAAGAGATTTAATCTTGTAAAATCACCGCCTCCTTTGGCCCCATGTTCGAATTTATAATCATAGGGTGTAATTTTTGCAAGCAAATGTAATAAACTAGTGTTTTGAAAGGCTAATTTTTAGCCATTTTTTTTATAGATTGAAGTTGATAATTATGCTCTTGTTTAAAGAAAAGTTGAAATCTTCGCTAACATAGCATTTTTTATCCCAAAATGTTTTCACTAAATACATATTGTTAAGGGTTTTTTATTCTAAGATTAACTGACACTTTAAAAAGTTCTTTTAGAATGTTTTGTGGATGAGTTAATAAGCATCTGAAATTTAATAAAAAGTAGGTTTAGAGTAATTATTTATCCGAGAAAAAAAAACAGGGCCTCAAAAGGAAAGGCTTTAGAAAAAGCTTAAGTATAAGATATCTTGGCTGCGTTTTTGTTCTCATCCTGAAGTTTATTAATTGTACAAAGCTGAGGAAAGCGAAGATTATTGAAGTTTGAAAATATTAATTGTTGGCCTAACGCCAATTAAATGTTTTTGTTCTTTTTTGTTTCGTGAAGTCAATTTCCTGTTCTTATGAATTCCTTTAAGATTAGTTTTTTAATGCATAAAAAAATTCGATTCATAATTCATTTATTTTTTAAAATTAAAACTGGCGTTCTTTTACTAGAAAAGTAAATTTTTCAAAAATTCAAAATAAGCTGTATTATCAGACATTAAAAAAAATAACTTAATTGCTTGTATGTTCTCCTAAAACTAACGCGGAACAAGTTTGATAACTTAAAGTAAAAACTTTAAAAGAATACAACGCCTTCTACATTCTTACACCTCTACTATATAAAAGTTTCTTTTTTAAAAAATCAAACTAAAAATTTGTTTAAAGACAATCGTTGTGCAGAAAGTAACAAAATAACGTTTACTTAAAATGAACGTTTTATTAATATTTATTGCTTTTTTTAAAAATGATTCTAAGATATTATTTTAATGTAAGATCGGGTACATTAATAACTATAATTTTAATGCAACATTGCACTACATAGTAAAATTGCGAAATTAAACCCTTACATACTCAGTGTAGGGTGAGGAGAAATTTCTTACAGTAGTTAAAGGGGGAAGCACCTAACGTTGGTGCAAAAAGAAATTAAAACTCTTTCGAAACGAAAATATTTCGAAGAACAGCATGAAAGAATTAGTGTTTGTACATCTTTACTCAACTAATGAGCGTTAAATAAAGCAAAAGGAATTCATAAAACTTTAAATTCGAAATGTTTAGATAAAATTAATGATTAGATCATATTCAAATGTCAGATAAAATAAAAAGGAATCAAAAAATACCAAAAAATCTTAATTTGAATTACCTAAAAATCTTACAGAAATAAAAATTCAAGCAAAATTCTTTCAAAATATTAATTTCAGTTCAAATATACAAAATGTTCTTTTATAGGTTAAAATTCTCACAAAAAATAAAAATTATATCGATAATTTTTTTAGAGTTCGCTGAATTAGGGATAGAGATTTAAACTACAAAAAAGGAAAAAAGAAAATATTCAGCATGTTTTCAGCAGCAATATTCTGAGTTTCTTAAATTACTACAACACAATCACATTTTCTGAGCAGATTAGTTACAGACCCGTTCTAAGAAACAGAGGGGGGGGGATAACACGTGAATGGCATTTCCTTTGCCACAGTGGACAATGAGGGATGGAATAAGGGGAGGAAGGCCTCAAAAATGACACCGAAGGTGATAATTTTCTTCAAACTGACTCAGTGACAAATGATGAAAGAGTACTACCCCTAACAATAAGGAAGCTTTTGAACAGGTACTGATAGCAAGCAAAAATACTTTTACAAACCTGAAAATCGAAATATGTATGAAAATTCAAATTAGCTGTTAAAGACATTAAGTAGTAAACGACATCTTTGCTGTTTAATAAGCGTTACATAATTACTTTAAGCGTCACATAATTACACGATTACTTTAAGCATTGCGCAATTAACTTAAGTGTTACATAAATACTTTCAGCGTTACATAAATACTTTCTGCAAAACGTACAATGAAACGCAGGAAACTCTTTTTTTTTTTTTTTTTTTTTTTTTTTTTGAGTTTTGATCTTTACCGAAATTACTTTTATTTAGATCACATTACTAAACTTTGTCTCAAATATGCATTAAAATCAGATATTTTCATTCAAATATTTTTAGGATGTCGTTGCTTTCCTTTTAACACATCACATCTTAAGATTTGAAAAACTGACCTATATTTCACGATTAATTATACAAAAATTCTATCTTTTAAATTTGAAAGCATTCGGTATTCCACCAGAATTCATAAAAGGATACGAAATTAAGCTCGAATTAATTAAATTAGGATAATTAAGAAACAAGAAAAAAATAATCGTATCATTTTCTTAAAATTTTTTGCAGATCTGCTTGTTTTTTGAAGGCGCTCATAACATTATAATGCTAGACATCAATCTGCCGCCACCACCATATAATAGTGGCCAAGCCATGGAAACGAAACCGCATATGGAGCTAATTTGTTGGTCTGAAATTAATATTGAGCAATGCAAGATGTTATAGATTAACTACCACTTTTTTAAAATAGTTATAAATTATATTTAAATTTCAATCACTCTAAAAACATTATGAGCTACAAATAGTTATTTAAACGATTTAATCATTGGAGAAGTTTTCTAATCATGATCACGAAAACAGAGAAATGTCAGCATAATTCTTTGCATTTAAAATATAAAATTGAAAAGATTCAAACCACTAAATGTGTTTGCATTATTACAAGTATTTTATTTACTAAAAGTCGCTATATAATCATTTTTTGATCTTGTAAACTTTTTGAATAAAACCTAAGAACAACAATGGCAGTCATAAAACTCATCTAGTATAGTAGTTATTACGTTGTAAATCTCCTTGCCATTGAATCACTGTCCAAAACCTGATCATAATGCAATACAAATTATTTAACTTATTAAACTTTTGAAACTTTTCAAAAAGAGAATTCACGAGAGGAATAAAAATTCTAAGACTTCCTTTGAAAAAACAAGTCAGTTTACTTCACTGCGCGGACACTCTTAAAAAGGGGAAAACACTTTTACATGGTAAAACGAGCCAGAAAGAATATATTTTTAGATCAAAAACAATTCCACCCTCCTATTTCATAAGAATTAACTGTTTCATCAAACAGGGAAGACCATATTATGTCGAAACGAAATTCTGAAAATAAACATGAAAAAAATAGACGTGAAGAATTTTAAGACAATATAAAAGATTTTTTTCCGCTTCACAATGTATATATAAAATTATAAACTTGTTTTACTCTTTCAGGTCGAACAAAAGATCAAAATTTGAAGAAAAACTATAAATATAGTAAAAATTGGTGATATTAAAAATTGGTTAATAAATATGTGATTATAGGCCGGCATACTCAAAGAAGCCTGAAATTTTTGGTGACCCCGACATAATGCAATAAGCAAAATAAAAAATAAATTCACTTTCGCAACATTTAGGAAATTTTAAGATTCCAAAATATTAGTGACTCAGTAAAAATTTACCATTCAAGAAATTCAATTTATTTCGACGGGGAAAAATTTTTTTTTTTTTATTGTTTCCTTTTCTTTTTTTTCTTCTTTTTTTTGCGAATAAGTGTACTTTTCGTGGTCACATAGGGTAAAGGAATGGTTAATAGCAGTATTTACTTGAACAAAAACTACTTTAAACTTTAATTTTGATATTTACTAGTCAATTCAGACAAACTTTTTGATCAATAATTCTAAATTTGTAAGACACTAAGTAAATCATCTAGATTTGTGTAAGACCATAAGTGCTTAGTTTAAACACAATAAATACAATAATAGCAAAGCAATAACTCAGTTCATTAGAAAAATTGTAATTCAATATACATTATTGCCATTCATATGACTTAAATTTGAAGAAGGAAAAAATATTAGACAAGAAGTTAATAAAGTTCGATAGCAATAAATATTCTATTTCTATAAAACGCTTTAATAAAAAAATAAAAACTTAAACTAAACACATTACGATTGAGATGTCATAGAATTGCTTGAAAAGACTTACTTTTATGGAGAGACGAAGGAAACGAAGGAGAGCAAGGAAACTTGGAGAAAAACTCCTTAAGCAAAATTTAAAGTTCAACTAATACTAAATATGAGTTTGAGCAAGCTTTAAGAAAAGGAAGATTACCCCCTGGTGTGGTTATCTATAGTTCCTGGTAGACAAAGGTAAGGCCCCTCAGATTGGATGAAATCAACGGACAGAGTGACCGTTACAGTGTCAAGACTATCATTTGCTGTTGTGACCTGTCCATTAACACACCCCCTTTTCAACTGTACCACCTCTTTTTTTTTGAATGTCTAATTTTGAAATGGGGGAAAAAATCTCGTTTAAACTAGGTTTTCAGTGGCTTCCTGCGTTTTTCTTTATTTATTTTCCATTGTAGTTAAAAATAGCAATAAGTTAAAGTTTTGCGGCATTCTGAAACTGATACACTTTACGTAAAAACACCTGAAATTTTTAATGCAAATTACTGTTATCAAGGATTTTCAGCTAAGATTTTGCGTAGTTTCATTAAAATTTCTTATTTTTTAAAAAAAATTAAAATATACGAACAATTAAATAAATTTAACTCTTATTCATGTTAGCATTTTGTCCTAACATTTTATTAATTTTTTTTTCCAAATATAAAATATTTTGGTGTTAGCTATAACTAATAATCGAAAACAGAAAATCAGCAAAATAACAAAAAATAGTTCTGAAACGGCAATTTTGGGTTGAGAGAGGAACTTCATGCAACCAAAAAGGATTTTCAACAATTCTCCTTGTTTGAGTTCCTTTTTCGCCATCTTGAATTTTAGATTAAATTACAAAAATACATGCCAATTACATCTTTCAGTAAAATACATTTCTTAAAATCTAGAGAAAATACTTACGTTTATTAGATAGCGAGAAAAAGGCAATTTTTTAAAAACAGCGATTGTTCTCAAACATTAACGTAATAAAGCAACTGTGTGCAATTATGGATTGATTGGTAGATCAGTAATGCGCTGTTTGCTTGTTTAATTCATTTACTTTCATTTTTGATTAAACCGATGAAAATTCAATATAGTTGCAGCTAAAAAAAAATTGACTGAAATAATACAAAACAAAGATATCTTTCAAAACCGTAAAGCAGAATAAAATTATAACATTAAATAGCAATTTAGAATAATATAGAGGAAATTACCAGTGCAGTGTCCTACCTTTTTTGACGAAATTGAAAATCCTTTAATTTTCGACAGGACGCCTGGGCTTGAAACTGTAAGCATATATTGAAATTAGACTAATTTATGGTTACACAGCATACATATGCAAACTTATGTGCATATTACAGTCCTACAAGCAAAAGACACGGTACCCAGTTGAGCACCAAAGTCAAGCACCGCTACAAACTTTCAGTTATCGGATGGGCAATAATTTTGATCAGGTTACGAAATAACCGAGGGTGTGTGGTATCGGATCTCGATAAACTATTCTATCGTGAGTTGTTCAACTTCGCGTGCAAGTGTAAGGCCACCAAACTAGGACTGCTATGTCCTTTACAGAAGAACAAAATTGTGATGACATGTCTTCGAATCATCCTTAGAGATCTTTCCCAGACCGTTGTGAATTGGTTTATTGGAATTTCATACATTTGCAGGCTTGTGTGCCCAATTTAGGATTATAAACCTTTGTCAAATAGAAGGACAGATAGTACAATACAGAGAAGGTTAGCATGAAGATACATCCAGGGTAACCGCCAGTTTCGAACCCGCTACCTACCATCGTCCCTAGCCCATTGAGCAGCTTAAATAAAGTAGTTGTGGGACGCATGGGTGCCACTCTTCAGTCCTCGAAACTGAAAGCAGTCATGAGAAAAGTCTGGTCTAAATTTTGTCCTCCAGTTAAGATCTATCTTTAATTTGTTTTTAAATTTTGCAAACAAAAATTTTTCTTTTTGTAAAAAAAATGTAACAAAAATTTTCCGCCAAAAGTAAATTTAAAAAAATTACTACAGGCTTGACTACAATTATTACAATTATTTTACATAACTGTTGCTATATCCGCCTCCTTGTGTTTCTAAATGCTGGGGAAAGTTAAATTAAGATCGTTCTTTTATGAAATTTTTAGAGCTAAGATAAGAAATTAATGATGAAGTGAAAATAAGTAGATATATGATGAATATATTTAGTGATTATTATAAAATTATAAACTAAGTTATCTGTCATGATTGCTTTGTTTGCTGTAAAAATAGACTAATAAAATAATGCGTGGGCCATTTTCGTGGAAAGGTACATTTTGCCGTCAGTGAGCTATTTTTTTAAAATTCTGCAGAACAGCTCTAGATTGTATTAATTAGTCAAATAAGTTCAGGGTTGACATTTTTTTAAAGTGGCACCCTTGGTGGCGTAATACTGAGGGATAGCACAAATAGGGGTTACGGTGAGATTCGAACCTTCTACCTCCTAACTACAAGGCATCTGGGGTGTTAATTTCGGGATCGGTAGTTTAGTGGGGCCTACAACTTTAATGGTCCCGAATCCTTATTCAGAAGTGTAATTTTTTATGGATATTTTGTCTCATTCTTTTAATTTTTGAGGAAAAAATAATGAATATTTTAATGAAGAATCTAACTCACCGATATCTGAAGCTGTGCTGCAAAATTTGTATTGACACGCTATTCATGTGACCTAATAACTTAGAATTCCATTAAAACGTAGAAGTTGCTGGTTCATAGCGCAGCGAAATCCTTGACGACGCATTTACTCTAATACTGCGTTATTTTTCTGAAATTTCTTTGATAACTATACATCTTTCAATTTGGCAAAAACAGACAAGCCGTGGCATGCTTTGTTGTTGCATGATATTTGATGTCTACACTTATATTTGCCAACATCTAACACTTAACTTACTTGCTGTTGTTGTTGCTAATTTACGTCACACTAGAGCTGCACAATGGGCGACTGTCTGGGAAACATCCCTGAAGATGTTCCAAAGACAAGCCATCACAATTTTGATCCTCTGCAGAGGGGATGGCACCCCCGCTTCGGTAGCCCGACGACCTGCACGCGAAGTCGAGCACTTTACGGAAGAACAGTTTAACGAGGATAAATACCGCACACACTCGATCCCTACGCAGACTGATCCAAGTGGTCACCCACCCGCACACTGACCGCAGCCAGTGATGCTTGACTTCGGTGATCTGTTGGAAACCGTGTCTTAGTGATCTGTCCACTACGAGACAGTCGCATGCAAATATACAATTTTTATTATACTTTTCAAGCTTTGTTTTTTTTTTGCGGTAAAATCGGAGTATGAACCTGAGACTTTTTCAGTCTGAAACAAATAGTTTATTTTTCAAGCATTGCAGAAAAATGCATTTAGTATTTATTAACTCTATATTTGAATAACTTTTATACGAGCTGTCATAATTTTGCAGAAAATATATATCTGAAATATATATACATGGATTACAATGGTGGGTTTCGGTATAGGGATGTGGGGATTTGGCACATATTTATGTAGGAAAATATGAAAAAGCTACTCATTTTTGCTGGCTCCTGATATTAAAACCGAGATTCTGAAAGGGAATTGATTGCAGGAATATCCTTAACTTAATCAAACGTCATTCAAATGTGAAAATTTAAGTGATTTTGTTATGTTCCAAAGATGACAGATTCCATTCTCAATATAGGGAATTTTTGAGACTTTCATAATGCGTATTTTTGTAAGAATTATTGCCTATTAAATTCAGAAAATATTTTTTAAATTGGCATCTTGACTTTTTATGGCTCTTTGTCGCTTCATTTGTCGCTTATGGCGCTTCATTTTATTTTATTTCTTTGCTTATTTTTCTAAGATTCCTTTAATTAATATTTCCGACAACTGCATTTAAAAATAAATAAATATATAAATAAAATAAATTAAAATAAGGAAAGATTGGTAAACATACATTATTAGGAAGAAATAAATTCAGAAAAAAAGTGTTTTATATTAATAAGACTTGATAACTGCCTTTTCCTGTGCAGCTTTTGTAATTATTTGCTAAAAAAATTTTTTTTTGAGAAAATGTTTTTAGAGCCTGTTATTGACATAGAGAGAAGATAAAAAAAAATCATTTTTGTAAATTTTGTGATTATCATTCATTTTGTATTGCGATTAACCTTAATTATGTTACCAAAAAAAACGGAAAAATTGCATAATTAAAAATTTTATACTTTTATCTAAGGAAAGAAAAGAAGAAAAACAATAGAATGTGGGTTAAAAAAAAAATTTGTTAAGTAAGAAACAAAAACTCTCATCTCAAAAAAATTAGATAGAAGAGAGTTACACTTATATTTTTAATTTATAAATTTATAAAGAAAATTACCCGACATGAAATTATTCAAAGAAATATAAATTCAAATGAATGAATTATTTTTCAAGTTTAGTTAAAAAGAAATCGTTAGTATTTTATTTTTTACAAGTCAAAATGTGAATACATTTTTATAACTTTGAAAAAGATGCCCCTTTTATAAAAGTTTTGACAGCTGAATTGCTATTTCAAACTTGAATGTCTCCAATAAAGAAAGGAAAATTAATGAATACAACTGCATTGCCACTTGCACTGAAAGAACATGCAGAAGGAGATTGCAGATGCAGTTTTCATCAAGGGTGGTCACTTTCAAGAAAAGCAGAAACTAGTTTTACTCGGATGTCTCCATGGAGACTAGAGACAGACCTCCATGGCTGACCTTAGTATCCATGGGTAGGGTGCATGAAGGTTGATTGAGATAAACCAAAATTTGGAAGATCTAAAGTCGTTAAAAATACAAAAGTGTTTAAGAAAATTTCAATATTCTTATTTTCTTGAGGAATATTTAATTGAGTCATGATTAGAGATACATCATTACAGAAAAATTATAGGGTGTTAGGTTTTAAATTATTTTGCACACGCAATAATAAATTTGCTACAACTTATGAAATTTTAAGTTCTACTGTTTATGCAAATCAAGCTTCTTATTTTCTGGTGGAATATCAGACTGAATCGCGGCTACAGAAAACTCTTTTCTGAAAAATTATAGGGTTTTACGTTTTGAACTATTTTGGGGAGATAATCACAAATTTGCTACAAATTTTGACATTTCAAAAGTTCTACTGTTTATGCAAAAAAAATAAAAATAAATTCTTTTTAGGATAAAAAAATGATATTAATTAGAATTTTACTGAGTGAAATTTTTTGATTACATCGATCAATTCGGAAAAAGCTTAAAATCTATAGTTCAATACATTATTCAGTTAAAGCAGTTATTTTATTATTAAAAAACGAAAAGTATCCCATATTCGTTGGAATTATTTAAATTAAGCTGTTTGTTCTACATATAATAATTAATTTGTTCTACATTTTATTCAATTATAACAGTTACTTTTATAATTTAAAAAAAAATCGTCCTACATTTGCTGGAATTATTTAAATTTAACTGTTTGTTCCACATTTTTTCAATCTTCTTTTTAATAATAAACTGCAATAATGCTAAAAAAAAATTTGCTATACTTCTTCTAAAAATATAAAGCTTTAACGAAATTAATCATGGATAGACAAATTTTTTCTGCAGTGGAAAAAATACCTTTGTGAAAAAAAAGTAAGTTTCCTTCAAATGGAAGAAATTGTTTCCCGTTTCAAAATTGTTTGAATTTGAATGATTTTGACTGAAGATTAATATCTTTAATTGTCATTACTACCTGTTCAAGCTACAGATTTATAAAATAGGTAGACTGCTACACGCGGAAACCAGAAACCCTATCACGTGACTCGTTGGTCAGTTTACTCGTTTTGTGGAACCCCCCAATGTTATTTCTAACAAGAGGCTTATCTTTTTCCATAATTTCCAAAAATTTGCTATACTTCTTCTAAAAATATAAAGCTTTAACGAAATTAATCATGGATAGACAAATTTTTTCTGTAGTGGAAAAAATACCTTTGTGAAAAAAAAGTAAGTTTCCTTCAAATGGAAGAAATTGTTTCCCGTTTCAAAATTGTTTGAATTTGAATGATTATGACTGAAGATTAATTTTTTTAATTGTCATTACTACCTGTTCAAGCTATAGATTTGTAAAATAGGTAGACTGCTACACGCGGAAACCAGCAACCCTATCACGTGACTCGTTGGTCAGTTTACACGTTTTGTGGAACCACCCAATGTTATTTCTAACAAGAGGCTTATCTTCTTCCATAATTTCCTTAATTATAATCACACAATGAAACACAAAGCTAAGATTTTCTCTCTAAAAATCAGTACAACTTATAAAATCCAAAAATAATGATTGTGTATAGCAAATGAATTATGTGAGTTATTAGATAGGGTCAAATCTATTGGTGTATACTTCATTTCAGTTTTTAAAGTTTGCAGTGGCAATATGAGTTTATATAAACAAACATTAAACTTAAAATTATTCATAATATTTTGTTTATGTTGTAACAGATTGTAATAACTAATTTCATTATCTGCAATTGTAGGCAAAATAAATAAATTTTTTCAAGAAAATTATTGTTGCTCAATTAAGAAATGCAAATATGTAATGGAATATAAGTACATTCATTTCTTGAAATTATAAATCATTTACAGTTTCAATTTAATTAGACTAGTAATTTATGAGCTGTTTGGAAAAATCTTTATTTGAATCTATTTTATCAAATAATTTAACATACTTTATGTGATTATATTTGCAAGTAACAAATTCTTCAGCTATTATATGCAAAACAATTGAGGAGGAATTCAAAGATTCGAATTAAAATATAAATACGTTCATTTACCGCAATAACATGTACTTTAAAGATATGCTTAATTTTTAAATTATGAATCAATTATTAGAAGTTATTAAACTTTGCTCAAAGCATTCTAAATTATTAATCAAGTTTTTAAATGCTAGTGATAAAGTATACGAATGAAAGTTGAATAATTTAAATTATTAGTGATATAGAAAATATCGTGATATATCGGAAAATATCTCATTATATCATATAAAAATTATCGATATTTTTTCTAGGTATTTTAAATTTTTTGTCATATCTTCAAATTAAAATTTTTGATATTGACCATCAAAAATTCTCATTTGTCTTTAAGTCCATTTGACCTAAGGTCACCTTGAGATCAAATGAGAAGCTGCAATACTTCTTTATTGGTCTTCCTTATGACGATGACGTTTAGTGATGAGGAAGACACGTGGCTCCCTCGTGGCGGATACTAAAAAAACCATTTAACTATTGAAGCCATTTAACTAGTACCACACACGTGAAATGTTGGATGTATTTAGTAGTGAAGCTGTAAGTAATTTATTATAATTAAAAATTATTCATTATAGATAGTTCTGAATTATATGTTTCTTATTCATTTGTCTCTATATATTAAAAAGACGCAAGCACCACCAACAAATATTATTGTGGGTGTTACTTTAAATTGTATACTAAATGACTTTTTTTTTTAAACACAAAAAATTTAATAATCTTGAAATTAGAAACGTAAAAGGAGCTCAATTAAATAAAAAAAGAATTTAACACTCCGTAATTATTAGCCGTTGAGCTTGTAGTAAAAAATACCATTGGACGACTCTCCAGCCCAAGGAAATACATTTACAGAGTTGAAATTTGACTTCTTTTTTGTTCGATGTTCACAACAATGCTAAGTGCTTTTCCCCTCTTTAAGTTATATTTCTACTTTTTTCCCCTCATATTTTTTTGCTTTAGTTTACATTTTGTAATAACGTAGGTGTATAGGAAAATGAACAAGAAGTACCATTACATAAAAAAACATTAAAAATAAGAAGAGAAAAAAACAAGATCGAATTATAAGTTTTATTATGAACTATGAAACTTGTAGTAAGAAAGAAAAGAATGCAAGACAATCTTACAATAACCGAGCGGAAATTTGACGTGCTAAGAGAGTTATTTTCATTTATTAAGTTAACTTTACTCGTGTTTTTTTTTAATTATTTTTGAAGTTAACTTAACACTTGTTTTTTCTTTCTTTAAATAAACTTAACACGTGTTTTTTTCTAAGTTAAATTAATACGTGTGTTTTCTATCTTCCTAAACTCTAATTTGTTAGAATGCTTTTACACTTTAAAAGGCTATTTTGTGATTTTTTTTATTTATTTTTATTTAATCAGTGACTATCTACCGCTATATGTAAAGAAAATTTATCCCTCTCGAGGCTTTCATTTTATAAGCTCGCACTTGTCTTGATGTGGCCAAGCATAAATCTTCACATTTATATCAAAACTTTTACAAATAAAAGATGTAAATATTGAAATGTTATATTCTATATGGTTATCTTAATATATTGTTCACAAGGTAAAATTCTAATTTATTGTTTCCTATTGTGTACCACATTCTATGTGCCTAAGCTTAATTTTTTTTTCAAGTACGCTTTTTTTTTTTAATCAAAATAATCATTTATTTTGCGACGATTGACACATAAACAATATGCTCTTACTTAAAACTATAGTAATCAATAATCATACGTTTTAAAAACAAGATTTTTCTTTTTTTTATTTAAGTATCGTCTTCGGTTGTTGTTGAGCCGAGAGAATGAAGATAGCATGCAGCCATCTGAAATTTCAAAAATATTATCAAAATTATTCATACATTTTTCATTTATATCATCTAATAACTATCAATATGTAATAATTAGTGTTTATTAAGTATAGCATAAATAAGTTGCTTGGGCAGTGGCATCAAAAGAACAGAACTAAAACTCCAATATTTAAAAAAATAAATGTGTAGCCAAATCTACCACTACAGATTCCAAATTTTATCGCCTTCCCAAACATCGCCAGTATCGCCAAACCCACCGCGTAACATATACTAGGATTAAGTCATCTTATTCTCAATACATACGTCACCATATGTATAGTATATGTATTTTTTATTGTCAGTATTAATTTAGAATGCTATGATTAATTGAATACACTAGAGAAAGCAATATAATTGAATAATATTCTAGATAATTCAATCTAACCCGGCTATAATGAACCTCGGATACAGTGAACACTCGGTTGTAGGTAACATTTAGTGATCTGGTCTGAACTGTTATTAAATTAGTATTGTTTCATGCACTTATAGTGAACAGCTAATAAATCAGCGATTATTGAGGACTAATTTTTTGTAGTTATCGAAATAAACAATACTCTTCAGTTTAAGTGTTTACTCCAAAGGTATATGACCTTTGAGCCGCGATGGCTCAGGTGATAGAGCGTTCACCTACCAATGAGATGAACCGGGTCCAAATCCCAGCGATGGCTGGTCGATATGACTTTCGCATCCGACTCGCACTAGCCACAGTGCTGACGTAAAATATCCTTAGTGGTAGACGGATCATGGGTAAGAGTCTCCTTGCTGTCAGATTAACCTTGTGAGGTTTTCGTGATTTTCCTCCCACGTAACGCAAATGTGGGTTAGTTCCATCAAAAAGTCTTTACGAAGACAAATTTCTCTCAATACTTGATCCAGGTGTTCTCTTGTCTTCTGGATTGGGCTCAAAATTACAAGGCTACGGAATTGAACATTATTATTAGTCGTAAACTCAAATTTTGAGTCGACCGTTCAATCACGGTTATAAAATAATATGATCTTTAATTTAAAATGAAGAAATTCACGTTATAAAGGAGTGCTTAAAATGATTAATCTCAATTAAATGAATAATGCTTGTGGTTCCAAAACTAGTCCATGGAAGAGCAAATTGGTTGTCCAATGATTGGAATTACAGCTTTTTTCGAAAATAATGTACAGCAATCGGATAAGCACTTAATGAAAATAAAATAAAAACTCCGAAAATGACGAAAATTGATAAACGTCTAAAATTTTCTAAAAGAGTTTTGATATAGGATGACAATCACTTCATTATACAGGGAATATTTTAAAAGTTATTAGCTATTCCTATTAAAAGTTTCGTTGTAGGAAGAAGTTCGGTATAGGCAAACTTCATTGTAAAAGGACTACATATTTAGTTAGTTAATAATTTATAAAGTAAATTGCGTACTCTTTCCGTCACTGTTTCCAACAATGGCACAGGATTTTTTTCCCTCAAAGATTTTGGATATAGTGGACTTATTACTTGAGCTCCAGATGGTTCACTATAGCAGGGAGTGGCTGTATTCTGATTTTTTTTTCTTTTTTTTTTACTTTGACTTGCTGTTTAAACAACAGACCTTATCACAATTAGTAGAAAAAGCATAACTCATACAGAACAAAGCTTTGATTTTTTTACACATTCTTGTTCGCTTAAAAATTAAGTCTCCGTAGAAGAAACACAGATTTAATACGCAGCAGAATAGAGATAATTTATACTTATCTAAATTATTTTCCGAAAACCTAAAATATAGTATTATAATAATTTCACTTAAAATAAAAAATAGAACAAATAAGAGTGCAAGCAATTGATATTCTGTTGAGCTTAATAAACATCGGACATTTCATACAGATAGAAAAAATGGACAGATTATATCAAATATTCTTTAATATAAGAAACGTATTCAGAACTATCTATAATTAATAACTTTTAATATTAAAATATTTTCTCATTAACAATTTGAGAGCATCACTATTGAGTATTCCACATGATGGTAACAGAAAATTAAAATTCAAAAGAAAAATGTATAAATAAATAAGGATTTAAAAGAAAAAAACATTTGAAAAGATAAGAAAAGAAAAAGAGTTATAAAATACCACATTTTATTATACAGGGTGTCCCAAAACAACCGCATAAACTCTGCACAGTTAGATTCTTCGTTGGGAGTACATAAAAACTGCCCAAAGAAGCATTCCTGTACGATCCATAGCTTACGAGAAAAATACGAATAACAAAGTATGACATCACTGCCAGTGCAAGAAAAAAACACTTTATTGGAAATATATACACTGCGTGCTCAAGCCTGCCTCGACATGCACGGTGGACACTTTGAACATCTGCTTTAAATTGCGCATAGTATACTGCTGTTGATATGTTCAATAAAGTGTTTTTTTCTTGCCCCGGTAGTGACGTCATACTTTGTTTTTCGTATTTTTCTCGTAAACTGCGGATCGTACAGGAACTCCTCTTTGGGCAGTTTTTATGTACTCCCAACGAAGAATCTAGCTGTGCAGAGTTTATGCTGTCGTTTTGGGACACCCTGTATTTATTCAGAAGACTTAAGAGGGTAAATTTAAAATTTGCTTTCAAAAGATAAAAAAGAATATGGAATGGTTTGAAATATAATGTATAAACACTTACATATTAAAAGTAGGCATTGAAAGTATTTTTTGTACTTTTAAAATGAAAATTACATTATTTTAAGTGCTGCATAATTAATTTAATGTATTTTTGTTTGTCTTTGAAAATTCATAAAGATCTTTTTGTGAGTCATGCGGTCATGGAGGTTCAGCTTACAGAAATCTTATGACCAACGTCATGGCAGCAATGCGCACATTGTAGAGTTTTAATCAGAATTGCACACAATGCCACCTTTACTTCGCGAATGAATCTACAAATATACATTAAAGTATAATACACACAGGTAAAGAATACAATTGAAAATAATTTCTAAATCTGAAACAAATTTTTTAAAAAAAAGTTTTTTTTAGAAAAGATATGGACAACTAAAAAGTTTGCTTTGCAGTTAATTTTTTGATAAAACCATAAATATTTAATAGTAATAATTTTATCAACAAATTTACTAAGATTTAAATTGTAGATTAGTATGATCAAAATATCTTTTTTTTAAATTTCCTGAGCTAAAATTATATGAACTTTTACATTTAAATCTCTCTTTAAATTTATCTTTTCGGGAAGGTTTCAATCATTTACTGAGCACTTCATACACACTCCCAAGAGCCTTGGTGGCTCAGGGTATAGAGTGTTCACTTTACAATGAGAGGATCCAGGTTCGAATTCCAGTGACAGTTGATCGATATGAATTCTGCTCCCAAATTGAACCGGCTATAGTGTTAACATAAAATATCCTCAGGAATAGAGGGATCATGGGTTGGAATCCCCTTGCCGTTAGGCTAACCATGAGAGATTCTATTGGTTTTCCTCTTCCTGTAACGCAAATACTGGTTAGTTCCATCAAAAATCCTTCCATGATGGAAAATTTTCCCAATTGCTTCTTCCAGGAGTTCTCCTATCTTATGGGTTGAGTCCAAAATTACGAGGGTAGGAAGTTGAACGCTGATAGCCGTAAACTCAGAGTTAAGTCAGATGCACAGTGCCGGTTATAAAGTGAAAAAAAAAAAAAAAAAATCTCAGGTTAGAAAATTTATTAGGTTTTGCTTCTGGTCGTCAATTCTTT